GTTCTGTGGCATGGCGTGATGAGAGCATTCTATGGCATGGTGTGATGAGCGGGTTCTGTGACAGACGGATTCCTGGCTGGCATAGTGGAGAGGGGGTACAAAACAAATGTCCTGCCCTGCATGGTCCCCTGTGAAATCGGAGGCCTGATGGCCAGCCCTCTGTCGGCCGCCTGTGGACTAGGTCTAGGTACCACCAGTCTGTGCCCCACCTGCTTCCCAAAAATGATGGGAAGGTCGGGGCTTGGATTGGGGGGATCCCAGGAGGAAGCATCCCTTGAACGCGAATATCGTTTGCTGGTGTGCTTCTTCCGGCTTGCTAAGCAAGGTGCAACTGCAGTGGAGGCAACCTGCTCCCCCTGCATTTGGTCTACCCAACCTGCAAGGGATGCAATTTGTCCTGGCAGGTCCTCAACCACAGCACAAATCTCTGAGGCAAACCCTGACACGCTGCGAGGAGGAATCCACTGAGGGACCCGCAAAAGGCCCTCATAGGAGCAACAAGCTCCAGGATCGCAGCCTAACCGTTGCTGGCACGATTGAGCAAAATTCTGCCTGCAATAGCAGACTGCAAGGATGCCCTCAGATCAACAAGGGGATCCACTGCTGTCTGGCCTCCCACTCATCAACACAGTACCAAGGTACCTGTAGGACTTTCGCTCATGCTAGCACTCCATTCACAAGGCCCCAGAACTGAAAGCATGATCAGTCTTGGCAACACGCACACGACCCTGAAAAACATCCCAGACCTTGAAATCCCAGTTGCGTCATTTGAGTTTTTTTGCTCACGGCTTCTTCAGAAAACTGAATTGCACTGTTTTTGCTATGATGCACACTCAGTGCATGGTGTGATGCCACAGTGGCGTTGCTCTCTTTGCCTTGGTCACGTGGTGTGTGACGTGGAAGAAAATCTATGAAGTTATGGGGCTTCCCCTGACCTGGATTTCTCTCTCTGTCATTGGCTGAATCACAGATTAATGCCTACAGTTCAAAATAGTCATTTTGACTGTCCGGAGTCTATGGTGGGTAATTGAACATAGTGAATTAGTACAAAGCATCTCACCTTATTCTCAAGAGCAGCTTTCTGTTCTGTCAGTGAAGACAAGTGCCTGTCCAATTCTTCTAGTTTCCTAAGAAATTTATTGAAAATAATAATAATATGTAAGCAAGTACAGTAATCAGAGATAATGTTGAAGTTTACTTCCTAAATGTTTTGTTCAGATTGAAGTACACCAAACTTGCAATGTTACTAGTAAAACTAACTTTATAACAGGAGTTTAACTGTCCGAGTCAACTTTTGTTACTATTTACAAATTTTGAACCCACATAATATTGGAAATGATATCCAAAAAGAAATTATGTCATTTGATACAAAATTATCAGAAAATATTGAAAAATACTTTTTAAAAATGTTGAACCAAATCTTTTTTTTTTTGTATTTTTTGCTATTGGGTACTCGTAAAAATTTACTTATCTGTGGATAAAGAAGTTATGCTTACATTCCTGTGTAGCTCAAAGTTTTTTCAAAGTGACATTTCTCAAAGCTTCGGAAGGAGAATGATTTATTGCTCACACTCAGAACCTTTATGTTTGCTTTTTGCACCAAAACTTGAGAAAGAATTATGGTTCTCAAAGGGTTAAAGGGGAACTAAATAGAGCCTATTTTGGTGTTTGTATTGTATATTGATTATAAATTTGAAAAAAAAAAAAAAAAATGATTATCTTCAGAGTTATGATGATTTAAATATGAGAAACCATAAACCTGTGAAGGACTTCCGTTTGCGCCATCTTGCCATAAAAAACGCCCTCATGAGGTATAAACAGGTAAGGTAACAAAGCATGATGACGAAATAGTATCTGATTAAATATAAGCAACTTAGGGAGCCATAGTTAGCTGGACTGGTGAATTGACTTCTAGTCTAGGTTGTTTCGACTTTTACGTTAATGTTATTTACAAGCGTATCAACATACAAACATTATGGATGTGCGATTGATCAAGACAGGCATTTTGTTTTGTTTTGCATTTTGTGCCGTTTCCAGTACTGGACTGTGCGGCGTGCAAATTATTCAAAATATGCATCTTGAGTTCATAAGGTGGTGGTGGAAACATTTTCGCCCATGTATTCACGGGGCTGCACTGGCAAATCATGGGACAAGTGTCACAGGAACACCAAGCAGATTGTTCACAGACTTCCGTGTAATTTGAAATAAAACTATCATCTGAACAAGGGGCATCGTCGACGATATACTCTCATCACTCACACTGGACTGATCTGAATCGTCACAGTATACCGTACTTCCCTGATCATAAGCCCGGAGGCATGAACAGGTAAGGGAAAAGTAAGGGATGAGCTTGTACTCTAGGACCAACCAACCAAATTATTTTGTTTCGGGGTTAAACACTGTAACCATCTTGCAAACAACGAAATATTATCCAAAAAAACTATTCGTTCACCACACCGGGCTCGGGGAAATAATACTTATTTTTGAAAAAAAATATGCGTCATTGATTTGAACGACACTTACAATGAAGAAACAAACATGTTCATAAAAAACACACATTTTATTACAATACGATTTACATACCGTCTGAATTTACGGTGAAATAATGGGTAGGGTCTGCGAGGAAACAGTGGACGAACGCATTTATCATTATCTTCGTTTTGGTATGTTTTCGATCGTACGCAAACTCACGACGCAAAGCAATTTTCC